TACACAGGGCCCCAGGGCTAGGGGCCTTCCCTCTCCACCTCTAGGCTAACTGCCAGACTGCCACCTGGCTGCTGCCCTCACCTCCTCATACAGTCGCCTCAAGAAGTCAATCTCCTGGGTCAGCGCCTCCACGTTGGCCTCCAGGTCTGACTTGCGCAGGTAGGCACAGTCCACGTCCTGGGAAGGAGGGATGTGTGAGCCCTGAGGAGCCCAGCTGATCATGTCCCAAACTCCCCTCTTCTCACCCATTCCATGCAGCCCATGGGAGGAGTCCAGAATTCCTATGTGTAAGCCATCTCTGTCCCTCTTCCCAGCGTGCAGCTGACAACTCCTCCCTGTGGGCACAAGCTCTTGGGTCTGGGGATTCTCTCTACCTCAGAGACCTGCCTCCAGGACACCTTCTCTCTTCTCTTGAATCCTTCCCTAGGAAGCCTCCCAGATGGCTTCCAGCTCTACCACCTGATTCTGTCCTATCCTGGCAATGATCCATGGAGCCACCTGGCCATCCCTGTTCTACTTCATCACACCTTGCACACTGGATTGAGTCCTGGCATGTGTTCAGACTTGTGCAATGGGAAGTAGAACACACCACCTCTCAATGGGCGGAATGAAGCTCTGTGGTTCCTGGGACTGCAGCTATAGACCCAAGCCTCAGAAGCAGAGAAAGGCAGCCTCGGGTCAATGAAGGCAACCCTCTGCACCAGGGCAGGTGCCAATGGGCATTCCAGGTGACATTCACTGGACATGACATTCACTGGGATGCTTCTCTGGGAATTTCTTATCCTGATCTGGGAAGGTTTACCCCTTTGTTCACGAGCTTGAGCTGTGGGGGTCTCTGAAAGTCCAGTCTGTCCCTCAGGGATCCCGTGTTACTCTGCTTCCCATGTCCCTGTTACTTGCCTTCTTCAGAGCCACAAATTCATTCTCAGCTGTAGCTCTCAGAGAGACTTCCTCCTCGTACCTTAGGTGGAGAGAGGGGAGGTCAGGGAGAGCAGGCATGTCTGAACCCTGCATTCCATATCAGAGAGGGCAGGGGAAGAGCCCTCACCGCTAGCCTGCATGCCTGTCAGGGTCTTTCTGGATGGAGCTGGGCTGTTTGAGTCTCCTTCATGAACTTGAGTTGGGTTGGGGATAGAAAGTGTTCATGGGAGGTACACCAGTACTCAGGGCAAGGATGCTCTAGGGTCACCTAGAATGAGGACTCAGCCTCAAACTCAGCCTTTTGCTGGGAGGGGATATCTGGAGTCTTGGACTGTAGCCCCACCCTTCCCCTCAGTTGCATGTCAGTTTCAGCCCAACTGCTGGAAGACCCAGAGTCCTAGGACTGAGTAACTGAGGCAGTGGGACACTCTGGGCCCAGTTCTAGGCCTCCTAATGCCTTGAGCTGAATCTTCTCAGGGTCTGCAGTGCAAAGGTTGAAAGTCAGGAGGAGCAGCTCTTCAAAAACTCTCGGGCTTCCTCCAGGAGGGCTGTCTAGGCTTTAATTTCACAAGAGGGCAGGATTCTAGAATGCCCAAGCCTGGGGGCCTCACACCCTTTGGACACACTCTTACTCCCTGTGCCCTGGACTTCCACCTAAGCCAACTTCTATGCCAGCCCTGCACTCATGGCTCTCACCTCTTCTTGTAGCCCTCCATGGCCTCCTGCACGTGGTTGAGCTCAGCGGCCAGCCTCCCACTGTCAGCCTCCACACACTCGGCCTCCCGCCTCAGCGTCTCGATGTAGCCCTCGAACAGCGGCTCCAGGTTGCTCTCACAGCACTTGCGGTTCTGGTAGAACTGCCACTTGGTCTCCAGCAGCTTGTTCTGCTGCTCCAGGAAGCGCACCTGCCATGGGGGTGAGCGGGAGAGGAGAGCTCAGGGGGAGCTCTGGGTGAGGGCAGAGATGAGGTAGAGGGCTCTGGGAAGGAACCAACTTCTCCATTCCCTAATCTTGATCCCACCTGGGTTTTCACACTGGGAAATGGGTAGACAGGGTCAGTGCACAGTCTTGTGAATCCAGGTAGTCTGTGCCAGGTGTCCTACGCTGGGCTCAGCACCCTCCTCTGAGCCAGGAGAGAGAGGCATCCCCCCGTGGTCAGAGCACCTACAGTCACATCCCACATGGGGTCTGGCATGGAGCCCCGGGATGCTGTCACCAGACCATGGGAAGCTCACTAAGCTGACTCCTGTCCCTTCCTCCGGCAGTCAGCACCCCTTCCCCTCAGCTGGAGCTCCCTCCTCAGCCTGGGGCTGCCCACACCTCCCTGCTGCAGGCCCCTGGGACTCCCTGCAGTCAGCTTGTGCCAAGGCAGCCTGGCCATGCTTGCCATAAGCTCTGCTTCTTGGGACTGTCAGATGAGTCCTGTGGGTCTTCAGTGTGTCCAGGGGGCACTCCTCTCCCCTGAGACTGGGCACTCAGTGTCAGAGGTGTCTCCTCTTGTCCTTCTCAGTGCCCAGGCCTGGCTGTGCCCAGGGAGGGCTCCAGGAGGGTGTGATCCAGGACACCCACCTTGTCGATGAAGGCGGCGAACCTGCTGTTGAGGCCCTTGATCTGCTCCTTCTCCTCATGCTTCACGCACTGCGCATTGGGGTCGATCTCCAGGTTGAGGGGCGTGAGCAGGCTCTCGTTGACAGACACGGTGGTGATGCAGGGGGGAGTGGGCCCGCAGACGCCTCCGGAGCGGTATCCGAAGCTGCGGCCACAGGAGCCTGAGCGGAAGGCTCCGCTGACGCTGCGGCTGCCGAAGCCCCCGAAGCCCCTGGAGAGGCCGCGGTAGCAGGAGATGCCGCGGTAGGGGGCGGCGGAGATGCAGCAGCGGCCTGGCCGGGGCCCGCAGGCCGAGGCGCAGCTGAACTGGCGGCCACCAAACCCTGATCCGCAGGTCATGGTGCTTTGAAGATGGACTGCAGAGGATGAGATGGGAGCTGTGGAGTCCTAGTGGAATCTCCTATGCGCTAGTCCAGGTTCCGGGTCCTATTTATGTCAGGTTCTCCAGGGGTTTGGCTAAGAAGGTGGGTTGGCGCAAATGGGCTTTATGGGCTTGGGCGGTTAGCCCTGTGCAAGCCTCTCTAGAATGTGCTTTAATGGTGGAGTGGCCCGCACCCTCCTTTTTGTAAAGCATTACAGCTTGTGCCTAGGGCACTCAAAATATGGCAGGATTGCACCCTCTGTGGTACTGGGGAAGGCAGGGAGACCTGTGCATGGTGGAGAACCTGGAATGGGGAGCAGAAGCAACTGTGCTTTCAGTCTGTGTGAGAGGATGGAACCCGGGCAATGTTGGGAAATCAATACCTAATGCCCACTGGCTTTGTTCCAGGATGCCAGGTCTTCCAAAGCAGATGGGGATTTTCTTTTCCACTGTAGCGGCTGCTGAGAATTGCTTTTCCAGCCTAGTAGTCACCAATCCATGTTTAAATATTTGTCTCTTCAGTCAGAGGACAGACCATCTCCCTAGGTCCCTAAATCCAGTAGTCAATGCCATATTTGCCCCAAAATTCCATAGCTCTAGAAAGCATGGTATATATGCTTGGCTACTTCAGTATACCCCTCCCT